CGTAACTATCTTGACAGTAGGGCAGTACAAGGTGGTTGCATTCGTAACATGATATATTGGTAGCAGACCGCGTAAACTCCGCTTCCTTCCTCGGTTAGCCATAACACCTGGCTCGTCTCATCCTTCATTTGATTCAGTCTAAGTATTGTCTACAATTGTGTAATCGTAATTCCTGTGTCGTAGCGTCATGGCGTAAAAGTGTCCTGGTGTGTGTCATCTTTGGCTCAAGTCAATGTCTCTCGTTGTGGTATATGCCGAATTGTTGCCTAACAAAACACCTCCCCAGAATATGCTCAGTGTAATATATAATTTCTCAGTGTCCCCCACGTTCTGAAGTTCTCAGTATCCAGTGCATTTTTAATTGTCGGTCAGTGTTAAATGTACCCATTGTGTTTAGTGATACGACTGTGTCTATACTAACTGTTATAACTTAACATGTCTTACCTCATCCTCCTCCTTGGCTCCTAAATCCTCTCACCCTCCGTTGCCCATCCGTTCCGCCTCGCTCCGCCCTACCCTGCCCCGCCCCACCCCCCCGCCCCCTCCGCCGCTCCGCGCCCGCCCGCCCACTCCCCTCCGCCCCGCCCCGGTTTGCCACTCTACACCTCCCCCCACCAGCCTTTCATCATGCCCAGATGTTTCTCGCCCGCCCGCCGTGTGACCACCAATGTTTTGTCCTGTGAGTTATGCTTCAGGGTGGTGGTTAGTGTCACTGTGTTGCGATAATTGCAGAGCTTCACTCAGTGTGTTTTTATGCTAGTATGATTTGTATGTACTCTTTGAAAGTGTAGTGATACACCAATATTCAATGTGGTGAGCGAGCTTCACTCCCCCGACAACCTAGCCAAGAGAATGACCCGCGTGATGGAAACTATGGTTGCCAACGATGGCATAGCGATATAAAATAAATGTTTGTTTTTTCTTTTGCGGATACACTTCCAACTAATGTCATCCTTTCGGATTGTTTTCTGTCAAATGTCATACACAGTACCGCCCCATGGCCTGGCCGAATCAACCACAGCACATATAAGCAGAAGAAAGCGTGATGAATGCGGCACCACCACCGCCACCACCCCGCTTCTTTCAGTCCTCCTGTGGTCAAGGATTAAGAAGATTTTATATTTTTTCTGCTACTTTAGAAGTTAAGGAGTGTGGAATGGCACCACGCAACGAACCTGGGTGAGCCCAGCCGAGGAGGATTCACCACTGTGGAAGGTGTAAAGACAGGAATGATGCTGGTCTCCTACGCCGACACTCACGTCGCAGGGCAGGCCTGGTCATAGAACCTGCCACAGTCATCTAAGGGCACGACAGCCAAAGTGATGGACCGGCTTTCATCGGCGGGAGGGCGGCGAGCAGATGAACAGAAAATCGTCTGGGAATATGTTGAAAATGATGATGTTGCAGAAGAAATACAGTGGGCAGAATAATTCATCACAGAATATGATGACGGAAAACGAAGATGTATAAAGAAACGCCCAGATGAACAGAAAAATCGTCTGGAATATAAGAAATGAAGATGTATAAAAACATGATTGAACAGAAAATTCATCTGGAATATGAAAAATACTCTAGCGTAGAAGGCGCGGGTGAACAAAAATCATCGGGGCAATATTATAGAAACCAGGAGGTAGAAGAGTCAGATGTCGGTGACACGACCTACAAGGTGCGGTATTGAAGAAAAGAAAAAACGTGCTATGTGAAGACGAAGGCGATCTGTGCTGACATCAGAAGAGTCGACGATGAAAAGGTGGATAATCAGAAGGACCAATCGACTACCGCTGTTGTGCCTTCGGCATTTCCTTATTTTCGGATACCGGCTGGATGGGAGGACGGGCATGCTGGACAACAAATGTACTTGATGTTGGTGATGTGGTTGATGTGTAATAAAAGATATAACACCTAACATGTGTGAAGTAGAACATTTTTTATGTACTTTGAAGTATTTCATTCTCTGATTTTTTGTTATATGTACTACAAAGAATGTTTTTTTTTAAAGGAATTCGTCACTTTTCTATAGTTCATTTTGATCAATGTTTTGTATTGCAAATGCAATATTTGTAAGAACATGTTTTACTGAGTAAGGACAATTCTTATTTTGACACTGACCTGGTTAGGCAATGTAACACCTAATGTTTTGTTTGTGAATGTGATTTGCAAGTTTGCCTCTCCCGGACACTATATACTAGTCTTAGAAGGATCTCTAGATCACTTTCTGTGTTCTTGCTGCTGTGTATGTATTTTATTTTTTCTCTATGTCATAGAGCTTTTAATCTTGTTGAGGGGTATGATAGCTTTGTCAGATCAAACTATGCCAGTGAAAAAACATACATCTCTAGTGTTATAATTTGTAAAATGTAAGGATGCATTATCGCCTCCCAGGGACTATATTAGATACTGCACATGATGTTACTGTCTACTTAAAATGTGTCATCAGTGCTCCTGAGCATAAGCTTTGGTCTTGGCGGGAGGTGTAGTGATGGGTTGTCAGACCACAGCTCCCCATCTCAGAAACAGTCCAGACTTGACCCGACATTAGGGGTCAGAGTGTGAGATAACTCTCACGGCTGACCAATGGTTTACAAATCCAAGCCAGGCTCCCCCTCCCAGGTCACACAGCCCCCAACAAACATGTAATAAAAGGCACCGACCAAACTCTCTCCCCAATATACACACAATTTCCCTGCACATAGAGAAGTCCAGAACCTGACCTCACATTAGCCAGTCAAATGCTTCCTCCGGCCCCTCTCATGTCACACGGCCCCATCCCTGAAGATTTCTCCAGAATATACGCTTATAGTCTCTGAAGAAGTCCAGACCTGACCCTACATTAGCGAGGCAAATGTAAGAGACCGCCCGCGCCCCTCCCCGATCAGCTCAACTGACGGCTCGCCTCTCCCATCTATAGGACGTCCTGGTCCTCCCTGTGACAGAGAGACGAGAGAGAAATTGTGTCTTGCTTGGCAAGAAGGGCCAGCTACCACATTCCCAGTCCTGCTCAGAAACCGCCACTAAGGTGTAACAGAGTCTCAGCGGGTCCATCGACAGTGCTGTCAACTCCCGTGTAACATTAAGTGCTGGCACAGCCATGTGAACCTAACAAGTGCAGTGATCCCGAACCTCTGACGATCGACTTGGCGGTGCCCGTTCTGAGTGTGAAGTTAGGTTATACGAAATACCGCAATTATCATAATTGTGTACGAAACCCCCATTAATCCCCCCCTATTGAACTGGTATAATAAAGCTGTAACATTGGTGTTTTATACTTACTACACTTATTACTGTGCCTGTGTTAATATACAGTGTTGACATCACACCCTCAAGAGACACACTTACTGTTTCCTCTCGCTATAATAACCTACTACTATAGCGCCTCCTAACTACCTCTTCATGTGAGATTTTGTCTCATTACACATACCTCTTCACACACTACCCATATCTCTTCAAACATAACCCATACCTCTTCACACACCACCCATATCTCTTCACACCACCCATACCTCTTCACACACCCCCCATACCTCTTCAGACACCACCCATACCTCTTCACACACCACCCATATCTCCCCACACACTACCCATACCTCTTCACACACCACCCATATCTCTTCACACACCACCCATATCTCTTTACACACCACCCATATCTCTTCACACGCCACCCATAACTCTTCATACACCACCCATACCTCTTCACACACCACCCATACCGCTTCACACACTACCGATACCTCTTCACACTACCTATTTCTTCTACTCCACCCATATCTCCTCCACACACCACCCATATCTCCCCACACACCACCCATACCTCTTCACACACCACCCATACATCTTCACACACCACCCAACTCCCACACGCCACCCTATCTCCTCACACAACCCATAACCTCACACACCACCCATATCTCTTACACACCACCCATATCTTCACACACGCCACCCATATCTCTTCATACACCACCCATACCTCTTCACACACCACCCACACCCTTCACACACTACCCATGCCTCTTCACACACTACCCATATTTCTTCAACTCCACCCATATCTCGTCACACACCACCCATATCTCCCCACACACCACCCATACCTCTTCACACACCACTCATACCTCACATACCACCGATAACTCCCCACATGCCACCCTATCTCCTAACACACCACCCATACCTCTTCACACACTACCCATACCTCTTCACACAATACCTGTATCTCTTTAAACACAAGCCATACCTCTTCACACACCACCCATTCCTCTTCTCACACTCACCCATCTCTTCAAACACAACCTATACCTCTTCACACACCACCCATACCTTTCACACACCACCCATATCTCCCCACACACCACCCATACCTCTTTACACACCACTCAAACCTCTTCCACACACCACCCATTCCCTCTTCACCCACCACCCATACCTCTTCACACACTACCCATACCTCTTCACACACTACCCATACCTCCTCACACCACCCATGTCTCCCCACACCCGCCCTATCTCGTCACACACCACCCATACCTCCCCCACACACCACCCATATCTCCCCCACACTCCACCCATACCCCTCACACACCACCCATATCTCTTCACACACCACCCATATCTCCCCACACACACCACACCCATACCCCCCACACACCACCCATACCTACTCACACACCACCCATATCTCTTCACACACCACCCATACCTCCCCACACACCACCCATATCTCCCCACACTGCCCCCCTATCTCCCACACACACCTCAATCCCCCACACACCACCCATTCCTCCTCACACACCACCCATATCTCTTCACACACCACCCATATCTACTCACACTCCACCCATACGTCCTCTCACACCACCCATACCTCCTCACACACCACCCATATCGCCTCACATATCACCTATACACCACACTCCACCCACATGCCCACCACCACCACCCACACCCCTATCACACACACACACACACACACACACACACACACACACACACATACTCACAAAGATGAAGGTAGGAGAGATGTATTTCCAGCATACGATCCAGAACTTGCCAGGACGGAAGCCCAACATCTTTTCAATATCGTCAGCAGATCTCTCAGCTCCGTAGAACCAACACACACCAATTGCCTCCACGAACACGATGAAGAATTGGGTTACCTGTTCCAAATATGTTCAACAGGTCCACGATGTACATGCCGCCCTGTTGATGGGGAATAATAGGGGTTATTAATACAGTTTTATGCGGGATAAAAGTTAATTGATTATTTGTGGTTTATTTGGCTAATGGGGTTTTATTGGGGGGAGTTAATGGGTATAGTGATGAAACATTGTAATTGGTAGAGAATTTTGGACGTTAACGGATGATATTAAAAAAAAAATATTATACGCTCACACACATTCACAATCACACATATTTACACTATAGCACACATACAAAGATGATATAAACACACATATACGCATATACACACATAAATGTACATACACACAGACATAACCATCCATACTTACACGCACACACATACACACACACACCTCCTGCCACCTGCAGCCCCCCACCCAACGCACCCTCTAGGCCCTCATAACACCATCTGTTAGTAAGTTACTGCACCACGTGAGGCCCCTCATAACACCATCTGTTAGTAAGTTACTGCACCACGTGAGGCCCCTCATAACACCATCTGTTAGTAAGTTACTGCACCACGTGAGGCGGCTCATAACACCATCTGTTAGTAAGTTACTGCACCACGTGAGGCCCCTCAATACACCATGTGTTAGTAAGTTACTGCTCCACGTGAGACGCCTCATAACACCATGTGTTAGTAAGTTACTGCACCAAGTTAGGCCCCTCATAACACCATCAACTAGTAAGTTACTGCACCACGTTAGGCCCCTCATAACACCATCTGTTAGTAAGTTACTGCACCACGTTAGGCGCCTCATAACACCATCTGTTAGTAAGTTACTACACCACGTTAGGCCCCCCATAACACCATCTGTTAGTAAGTTACTACACCACGTTAGGCCCCCCATAACACTATCTATTAGTAAGTTACTGCACCACAGTAGGCCCCTCATTACACCATCTGTTAGTAGGTTACTACACCACGTTAGGCCCCCCATAACACTATCTATTAGTAAGTTATTGCACCACAGTAGGCCCCTCATTACACCATCTGTTAACAAGTTGCTGCACCATGTGAGGCACCTCATAACTCCATCTGTTAGTAAGTTACTGTACCACGTTCGGCCCCTCGTAACACCATCAATTAGTATGTTACTGCACCAAGTGAGGCCCCTCATAACACCATCTGTTAGTAAGTTACTGCACCACGTTTGTCCCTTCATAACACCATCTGTTATTAAGTTACTGCACCCAGTGAGGCGCCTCATAACACCATCTGTTAGGAAGTTACTGCACCCCGTGAGGCGCCTCATAACACCATCTGTTAGTAAGTTACTGCACCCAGTGAGGCGCCTCATAACACCATCTGTTAGTAAGTTACTACACCACGTTAGGCCTCTCATAACACCATCAGTTAGTAAGTTACTGCACCATGTGAGGCCCCTCATAACACCATCTCTTAGTAAGTTACTGCACCAAGTGAGGCCCCTCATAACACCATCTGTTAGTAAGTTACTGCACCACGTGAGGCCCCTCTTAACACCATCTGTTAGTAAGTTACTGCACCCCGTGAGGCGCCTCATAATACCATCTGTTAGTAAGTTACTGCACCACGTTAGGCCGCTCTTAACACCATCTGTTAGTAAGTTACTGCACCCCGTGAGGCGCCTCATAACACCATCTGTTAGTAAGTTATTGCACCACGTGAGACCCCTCATAACACCACCTCTTTGTAAGTTACTGCACCACGTGAGGCCCCTCATAACACCATCTATTAGTAAGTTACTGCACCACGTTAGGCCCCTCATAACACCATCAATTAGTAAGTTACTGCACCACGTGAGGCCCCTCATAACACCATCTGTTAGTAAGTTACTGCACCACGTGAGGCGGCTCATAACATCATCTGTTAGTAAGTTACTGCACCACGTTAGGCCCCTGTTAACACCATCTATTAATAAGTTACTGGACCACGTGAGGCGTCTCATAACACCATCTGTTAGTAAGCTACTCCATCACGTTAGGCCCCTTATAACACCATCTATTAGTAAGTTACTGCACCACGTTAGGCCCCTCAAAACACCATCAATTAGAAAGTTGTTGCACCAAGTGAGGCGCCTCATAACACCATCTGTTAGGAGCTTACTGCACCACGTTAGGCCCCTCATAACACCATCTGTTACTAAGTTACTGCACCACGTTAGACCTCTCATAACACCATCTGTTAGTAAGTTACTGCACCACGTGAGGCCTCTCATTTCACCATCTGTTAGTACGTTACTGCACCACGTTAGGCCTCCTCATAACACCATCTGTTAGTAAGTTACTATACCACGTTAGGCCCTATAAACACCATCTGTTAGGTAAGTTACTGCACCACGTTAGCCCCTCACAACACCATCAATTAGAAAGTTGTTGCACCAAGTGAGGCGCCTCATAACACCATCTGTTAGGAGCTTACTGCACCACGTTAGGCCCCTCATAACACCATCTGTTACTAAGTTACTGCACCACGTTAGGCCTCTCATAACACCATCTGTTAGTAAGTTACTGCACCACGTGAGGCCTCTCATTTCACCATCTGTTAGTACGTTACTGCACCACGTTAGGCCTCTCATAACACCATCTGTTAGTAAGTTACTATACCACGTTAGGCCCCTCATAACACCATCTGTTAGTACGTTACTGCACCACGTTAGGCCTCTCATAACACCATCTGTTAGTACGTTACTGCACCACGTTAGGCCTCTCATAACACCATCTGTTAGTAAGTTACTATACCACGTTAGGCCCCTCATAACACCATCTGTTAGTAAGTTACTGCACCACGTGAGGCCTCTCATTTCACCATCTGTTAGTACGTTACTGCACCACGTTAGGCCTCTCATAACACCATCTGTTAGTACGTTACTGCACCACGTTAGGCCTCTCATAACACCATCTGTTAGTAAGTTACTGCACCACGTGAGGCCTCTCATTTCACCATCTGTTAGTACGTTACTGCGCCACGTTAGGCCTCTCATAACACCATCTGTTAGTAAGTTACTATACCACGTTAGGCCCCTCATACCATCTGTTACCATTAGGCCCCTCATAACACTATCTGTTAGTAAGTTACTGCACCACGTTAGGGCCCTCACAACACCATCAATTAGAAGTTGTTGCACCAAGTGAGGCCCTCATAACACTATCTGTTAGGAGCTTACTGCACCACGTTAGGCCCCTCATAACACCATCTGTTAGTAAGTTACTGCACCACGAGGCCCTCATAGCACTATCTGTTAGTAAGTTACTGCACCACATGTAGAGCCCCTCACAACACCATCTGATAGTAAGTTACTGCACCATTAGGCCCTCATAACACTATCTGTTAGTACGTTACTGCACCACATTAGGCCTCCTTAACACCATCTGTTAATGAGTTACTGCACCACATTAGGCCTCTCATAACACTATCTGTTAGTAAGTTACTGCACCACGTGAGGCCCCTCACAACACCATCTGTTAGTAAGTTACTGCACCACGTGAGGCCCCTCACAACACCATCTGTTAGTAAGTTACTATACCACGTTAGGCCCCTCATAACACTATCTGTTAGTAAGTTACTGCACCACGTGAGGCCCCTCACAACACCATCAGTTAGTAAGTTACTGCACCACGTTAGGCCCCCCATAACACCATCTGTTAGTAAGTTGCTGCACCACGTTAGGCCCCTCATAACACCATCTGTTGTTAAGTTACTGCACCACGTTAGGCCCCTTATAACACCATTAATTAGTAAATTACTGCACCATGTGAGGCCCCTCATAACACCATCTGTTAGTAAGTTACTGCCCCCCGTGAGGCGCCTCATAACACCATCTGTTAGTAAGTTACTGCACCACGTTAGGCCTCTCATAACACCATCTGTTAGTAAGTTACTGCATCATGTGAGGCCCCTCATAACACCACCAACTAGTAAGTTACTGCACCACGTGAGGCCCCTCATAAAACCATCAATTACTAAGTTATTGCACCACGTGAGGCGCCTCATAACACCATCTGTTAGAAAGTTACTTCACCACGTTAGGCCCCTCATAACACCATCTGTTAGTATGTTACTGCACCACGTGAGGCCCCTCATAACATCATCTGTTAGTAGTTACTGCACCATATAAGGCGCCTCATAACAGTGAAAATGTTACTGCACTACGTGTTTGCTGTTCAACACCTTAGTGCACTTGGGCTCCATGACCTTACAATGAAGGGCAAGAGACCAGCTCCCACCATCCACCGAAAACAATGATTTGTACGTTCTCTTTCCGTTCTCTCATGAAAGGTTTTGATATACGACCCCACGACCCCATGTCAATGCAGCTAATAAGTCATTTCTATCCACTGTAAATTTTCAGCCTTCTCGCTGCTGTACCTTTCTAATAATCTGTTTAATATTATTATCACACACACACACACACAAACACACCATGGCAACGTGAGGTCCTTCATATCAACACCCGAGGACGAATTACTACACCACACCACCTGGTGTCTCCGTGACCTGTCCAGGCCTGGGCCATCAACTGTAAACTATAATTTTTTGTATGTTCAATTCATGTTCCTTCTTCTTTCAGTAATGAAAGCTTTTGTTAAACGACTCACCCACCCCATGTCTTTGTATGTAATAAGTAATTTTTGTCCAATGTATATTTTCAGCCTTCGGGCTGCAGAACTTTTTCAATAAATCGTTAATTTTTATTATTATTATTATTATTATTATTATTATTATTATTATTATTATTATTATTATTATTATTATTATTATTATTATTATTATTATTATTATTATTATTACACATACACTGCAATAAATCAATTCTATGGTCCGTAATTTAAAGTCACAAAAATAATTTAAAACATAAAAAACCTTCCTTGAGCTACTTTCACTTTCACCTCATAGAAATTTCCTGGAAGGGGCAAGGAACACTCTACCTCTCCCCCTTGAGCTATAATGGATATACATCAAATTAATTCTATGTTTGATATAGGTTTTGTAAGTTTTAAAGAGATAACATTGTGAAGTATTAAAATGGCTTCTC